TAAGGCACCGCCACCCAAACCCATGGACTCGGGAATCGTGACTCCCATACACAGTAACACAGATATCATAGAGTCGATGGCATTCCCGCCCTTCTCAAGAATTGCCCTAAAAGTCCATTCAATCAAAGGTTAGTTCACTTTTACTCACAATTTATGAAAACCGTACAAAAAGTATTCAAAATTCAATATAAAGTCATACTTTCCTATGGGAGCGCAGGGCTCGGAGTCCGTACTGATGGCATACTTTTCATAGACACCTAAATAGGAGTCCGAGGTGTAGGAGCCGAGGCAACTGCCGTCACACTCTTTTTTGAGGCCATAGTAGAGTCCAAAACCAATGCCCACTCCAATCACTATAACTATGATACCGGCGCCCAGAAAGACTTTCCACACCTTTTTGCTGAGAGAATAATGAGAATAATTGGTCACATCTTTGAGTTGCAAATCATTTAAGAGGTTAGCTCTCAGCTCATCCTTATATTCACCACTCATTTATCACAACTTTTATCACAAAATCAACGATTTATATAGAAATAAATCAATTTATTCTGTATTGGGTTCTCATTAAAATGAATTTACTAATAAAATTTCTAGTGTTTAGTCATTCATTTGTGAATACAGTGAACACTTGAGGAATGCATTAGAAATATATACAGAATAATATAATAACACTACTGTATATGTGTTTGTTTTGAAACCACTTTTCAATCAAATTCAGTGCATTTTGACGTCAAATAGATATCCGATCAATGAATTTGTGTTTAACAAGCGCTTCATTTGAAGAATTTTATATATATTCTGTATTCTCACAAATTGAGTCCATATTAAGGCTTTTAGACAGGAAATTATATCAATATGGAGTGGCAGTAGTGCCGGGTCTACCGGTGTGTTGGCAATCCAACCACTACTCACTCAACACTTTCTCCAAATAAATTTTTATTATTAAAATAATTCCTAACTGAAAAGGATGATAGAAAAATTGTCATGCACATAATTAATTACATATACTGTGTCAAAACACATACCGGCTGCTCATTTCAAACTGATTGCAATTGATGTTTTGCCAGAATTTATTTGATTCACAGAATGCTATCTGGTTTGTAACAAATACAATACAATGGCACTGCTAATTTATTTAAAGTCAATTTTAATTATTTGTCTTTAGGTTACAATAATGTGTACAAAATATTTTTATAACACGATTTAATGCATTTCAAGAATTCAATACAATATAATCACGAGTTATTGGAAGAAAAGCAAAATTCTTTGTAACAATCGTTTCAAACTAAGCATTAAATAAATATAAGCTCTGATTCTGTCATTCATTGAAATAATTTATTTTAGAGAAAGAGTTCACTAAACTTTTCAAAACTTTTGGATGTTTTACAAATATATTGTATTACACTTATATAAATGCATTCATTTCGCTAACGAACATACAGTACAATTCAAAAACTAATTAAAAAGCTTATAATGATTTTTAAAATTCATTATATTAATTATTTTTGTGTCGTATAATTGTTTGAAATAAAATGTTTAAGTATATGAAATATCAAATAACATAAGTTCATAATAATTGACAGTATATTTACTAGTCAGGCTTATCTATAATTTTATTTTGTTAAATATCCGACTCGTGAATCTTAACTCTAAATTTAAACAAACTTTAGTTTTTAGACTTAAAAACAAAAAGTTTAAGTGATAAGTAAATAAATGTATTAGATTTATAAATACTGTACTATCAATATCTATACTAATATGATATCAGTGAGATAAATGTCAGTATTTATAAATATATTCTATAGTATAAGTTACTGCAAAAATCGATATTAAAATATAATTATATATTTTGGGTTAACATTTTGTGGATACATATAATTAGTAGAGCTGTAACTGGGTGATACAGATATACAGTATATGTGATGTACGGTATAAAACAAAATTAAATATTGTAATAACTTATT